ATCCAGAAAAACCACATATCATTATGATCTTTTTTGAACACAATACTCATAAGAGTCAACAAGCATTTTATGAAACCACCACCACTGACATCCCTGCCACACCTTTTTCGGAAATGAAGCCAAAGGGTTCCTTGTGGGTAGGGGTGCGGGGGGGGGGATTATGGAGAGGGTGGGGACAGTCAGGTGATCCTCTGAGACGCAGCATTAGTGAAAACCTACCACTGATGGTCTTTTTTTAAATAAATGTCTTCTAGGGACAAGGATACAATATACCTCAAAGTAAAGCAGGAAAAGCAAGGCCTGTCATAATCTAATTAAAGTAAGACTGAAGATTAAAAACAAACCCGACCAACTGAGGGAAGTTAGTGACAACAGAAGAAAAAGCAGCCTGTGTGAAGTTTGGGGAAATGAGAACCTGAGAGTGACTCTGTCACACGTCTCAGCCTAGAGCAGGCAGTATGCCTGGTGGGGATGCCAGCCAACCTGGTCTGTTCACATTAGTCACTAAGATCATTCAACTAACTTCCCCGGAGGATGTCACACTTACCAATCTCTTAATTATACTTCACAGGCAAGAGAATACACGGGCCCACCAGGTAAAACGCTGAGGAGGCACTGGAGCCCAGGACCTGGACCCTGCTTCCCTTATCCCACCCAGGGAATGCCGGCTTGTAAAGACCCACAGTAGTCACTGGCCAAACTCCTTTTCTGACATCTCTTCCACTTTTCCTTTAAAGAAATTATCTCCAACAGCCTACTGACTGGCAGCAGCGAAGTGTCTTTACAAAGAATACATACCACCTGGTCAAATGAGAAGGCTGAGACAACAGAATGCTATGAGTAAAAATGACAATCATTGAGGAATGAGGAATTATTAAGTAAGAGGAAGTTATTAAGGCAAATGTATCCACTAAGCAATCAAGACCTTATATCCCCGTATTTCAGCAGAGCTCAGAACAAGACCTACAAGACACCAAGAGAACACATGTGAAGGAAGTAGAAGCAACTTCTAACAACATGACAATTAGAGGGAACCGCAAAGCCCTTCCTGCGAGACAAGCTGTCCCCATTTCAGAACATGAAGGGGATTCTGCCATCACTGCAGCCTTTGTGACTGCTGGTGGCCACTGCTTCTCTGCCTAAAGGCACCGCTGCCAACAGTCTCTCCCTTGTAAGGGTCTCAAGCTGCCCCCATCACTGAGGCTGCCAGGAGAGCCAGCAGCTGCACTGTGAGGTAGACTTCGCTAGGGAGAATACATAGGTGACATTCAATGTCAAGACTGAAACAAGTACACTCCAAGGGGACATTCAAGTTGAGAGAGAGATCAAATAACCTCGGAGGGATAGGATATTCAAGTAATATTTCAGTACGGAACCCATTTTTTCAAATGAACTTATAAGAACCGCATTATACAACGTAAATAATAAAGTCACTGGTTAAAAATAGTTATTTTTAAGTTCATCTCACATGTACTTTACAAGGTCAATAAATGAGAACAATGAGGCTATTTTTAACATACACATTTTAAATGAAAGCTTATAGTAGACAGGAACAGTCTCATGTCAGCCTCAATATCCAAGATCTGTGTTTTTTTAAGCGCAGATTCAAGATATCACAAAAGTAAATTGCTCCAAGTTAGTTTTAATTGCTCTCCTTATAATCTCAGGATCCTCCTACAAATGACCCAAAAGCTTGGAAAAAAAATTACAAGGAATGCTTATTTCTAAGTTTAATCACTAACAATTGCTACTCTTATCATGATTTATCAAAAATAAAGACAAGTATCCATGACTGACAACAAGCAGTAAAACTCTAAGAGCACTATCACCTCGCAACCTGTTTTGTGTTCCTCAGTCATTGCATAACTCTCACGTCAGCACGCGCTGAGCAGATGTGCTGGGCTGGCACCTGCCGCAGTGGCGCACCGGCCAACATGTGCAGGCCTGCTCTCTACAAAAGATCTGTGCACTAGAACAGCCTTCCTAATCAATGACACACGGACCTGAAGTACATGAACAAAGATGGCAGACAAAGCTTTATTCTGGTCTGTCCCCTAAACCAGTTAACCCAGTAGCACAAGTCACATCATTGGTCTCTAATGTGTTAAATTGTGGCAACTAGCAAATTTTGAACATGTATGTTGAGCTTCTTTAAAATGGTTAAAAACATAAATAAAAGAAATTCAAATAAGCAACTGCAGAATCCCTGAAGTATCTGTTACTAATGATCTACAGTAAGTTGGTCAGAGGTCAGCTCTGTATGCTGAAGAGGTGGTGGTGACAATGAGGACGTCTAAAAGAGAAAACAACAGCTTTATCGGACAGTACTTCACAGATTTGCTATTGTAAAATTAACTGCAATGTTGCTGAGAAAAATATTACTAAGATCTTCTTGTTCCGAACACTGCTGTTCACTTAAAGTTGGATGAAGCCCATTATCCTGATCTATTTCTACTATAACAAAGACAAAAACCTGGCTGAAAAATCAACATTTCTTTTTATCTTTGGAGCAAGTCATTTTTACAGCACATTTTCACTTCTCTCTGCTCTCTTTACTTTTACCTAAGAATGTTCACATCCATTTTTTCCCCCAAGTATAGTTATACAGAATTATAACTTCTGATCTGCTCATCTATATAATGAAATCACATCTCTTCTTCACAGTGGTTAAGGACGGTATGCACAGTCTGACATGAGTGCACCACTGGCTGTGAAATCTTGGACAAAACACTTAACTTTGTCCCTCCGTTTCCTCATCTGAAAAAGAGACATAGTAATTGGACATACCTCCTAAGGTTGTTGGTCAAGATTAAATGGGTTAACAGAAGCAAAGGAAAAGGCACATTTTAAGATTTAGTAAGTGTTCGCCATTATCTTTAAAGAAAAACTTCAAGGATTCAAAATGCTCGAAGAATGGACCTACTAACAAATTTATATAATAAACTTTGGTAAAAGTTCTACACATGTTAGATGTATTCAAAAAGAACAGAACGAATTCTCAGTACACCATGTACCATTATTTAGAGAAGCTGTTCCTTCAAAGCTCACAAGAGTATCTCAGAAATATCTCAGAATTAAGGAAAACGAAGATCGACTTTATTCTCCGCTTATAAAAACAAAACAGATCTATTTGGACCCACTCGGTCATAACAGGGAAGAACGTGGTTCCTGTATTCAGTTCTAACTACAGCTACAGACTTTGTTTAAAATTTCTTTAAGCAGGAAAAAGAAAGAGGACACTTAACTGCCTTATTCCTGGAACTGCAGAGCAAGACAGATGCACGAGGAGATGTGAAAGTATTTTCATTATAGGGGACAGGGGGCAGCAGTTTGCAAGTTCACACTGGGATGCAAAGGACAGGGATAAGAAGGCATTTGAACGCACAAACATAGGCATATAAGAGGAGAGAAATTTAGTTATAGTTTCATCTCCCAACCAAAAAAAAAGACATAAAAGTTAATCAATAGTCTCTAAGTAACAAAATGCAACAAATGCTTTGGGTACCAAAGTTTCATCTAAAAGTTTCCCGCGGTAACAAAGTTTTGCACAAATCAATCCTTTACTCTGTGTGCACGTGTGAGCAACAATCTGCACAATTACTACTGAAGGCCGGTAAAGGGCCTTCAGAAAGAGAAATCAACCTCCCTCCTGTTTGCAGAGGCTAAGTGCAGTTTCTCCCAGGAGAGACAGCAGGCACTCCCGGGGGCGGGGAGAGGGGGACTAAAAGGAGGGCAGGAGGAGAACGAAGGGGAAACAGCTAGTGTGTATCTGCTTCACCAGAGTCTACTCCTTTACTCAAAGAGGGGCGACGGAGAGGTAGCATTTT